GTTGCCTCCCAGTTGGTTCTACCTCACAGCAACAAAGATACAGGATGGAACGAAGCACTGCCCCATCCCGCGCCCTCCTCACAATTGTTGTGCCTGAGCCCATTGTTGCAGTCACTGTGCCAATCCATCTTCTTCGATCCATTGGGTCAAGCATCTTCTTCTTTTCCGCTCACCCTCTGCCAAGTAGGATGTCCTTCTCCAGAGACCAAGTCTCAGCATCCTCGCGTCTATGGTGAATCCTGGCTGTATTCCTCTGAGACAGACTTGTTTGTTCTGCTGACAGTTCATGGTACTTTCGATATTCTTTTCCCATACCATCTCCCAAATTCCTAAGTTCTTCTCTGGTCTTCCCGATTCATTAGGGGGATTGAAAATAGCATGGCTTGGGCCAGGAGCATCGTAGTCTTCAAAATGATATCTTTGCCCTTTAACGCTTTATTTTTTTTTTTTCAATTTTTAAGGCCTCAAAATGGCCAATTTTTTTAAAACTTTTTTTGTTGCCCTTTAACATTTTTTTTTGCCCTTTAACATTTTAAAGATGCCTTGGGTAGCAGATTTTTCCAATGCAATAACTCACATCGTATACAAAAACTAACTCAAAATGGCTCAATGATATAAATATAAAGTCTACAACTATAAAAAATATCAGACAGGAGGCCTAATGCATGAAATAAATAAACTATCAACATACCAAAAAACACAAACAGCTAAAAAACTGGAGGATTCTGTCCTCCTACACTTAGGTGCATGAAAACGTTTACGTGCATAAAACACTTCTCCAAGGATAAAGAAAGAATCTGTAGACTGGGGAGAAAAATGGCAATGGCATAACAGACCAGAGATGAATCTCTAAAATCTATAAAAAGCGTTAACACCTCAACAAAAAGACAACAAATAAAATAATCTGATTTGAAAATGGGCAGAGAACATGAACAGACACTTCACCAAACATGATATTCAATGAAGCCCAGGATTGATGAACCTGTACAGATAACAAGTAGAATAAGGGTTTCGGCAGGGGCTGGGGGGGGGGGGACAGGTATTGTGGGGGAGCGTGAAAAAGGGAACTGATATCGAGGGGTTCAAGAAGGAAGAAAATGTTTTGAAACTGATTGTGGTAGCAATTGTACAATACTGCTTGAACTATGGAATGATATGATATCTATATTAGCACCCAATAAAGTGTTTCTTAAAAAAGATATTGTTTGTCAACAAACATGTGAAGAAATGCTTGTTGCCTTTAGCCATTCCCCCTGCATCGAGTCAATTCCAATTCGTAAGGACCCTGTCACAGACAAGGTAGAACTGCTCCGGAGGGATTCTGGGCTGGAACTCATTATAGGAGCACGCGGTCTCCCTTTTCTCCTGCGGGGCTGTTGGTGGACTCGAATTGCTGATCTGGAGGTTAGCAGCCCACCTTGTACCTCCCCAGCCAGCAGGGCTCCTTGGATGCAAATCAAAGCACAGAGATATCATTTCACGATATCATTAATAGGTAAGTTGAAAATATAGAAACTAGCAAATGCTGATGAGGGTAGGAAGGGACTAGTTCATACTAGAATCCTTGTGCAGTGCTGGCGGGACTGTAACATGGTGCAACCTTTGTGGGAAACAGTATGGCACTTCCTTAAAAACTTGGAACTAGAAGTACCAGGTGATCTTTCCACTAGGTCCCACTACTGGATATTTATCCTAGAGATATAGGAGCTGGGACACCGGCAGATGCACACGCACCCATGTTTATCACAGAGTTATTCACATTAGCAAAAGGTCAGAAACAACCCAAGAACCCATCAACAGATGAATGGATAAACTAAGATACATACAGAAAATGGAATGCTGAGCCGTGGTAAAGATTAAGGATTAATCTGCCAAACACCTTGTAACATGGACCAACAATTAGGCTGAGGAAAACAAGTCAATCACAAAAGGACAAATATTACATGAGACTACTATACATCTTAGCTACAAACTAGTATGTACGAACTAAAATATACCCATGCGTATTATAGGACATACAGGGGGTAAAGTTCTGGAATCTTTTCAAACATAAAAAACACCCTGAGACAATGGATTACTGGTCCCGGAAGCTCAGAACGAAGGTCTTAAGGGACATCAAGGTGAAATGGCTTATGGCACAGTCCACAAGGACAACTTCTGCTTTCGACTTTGGCGAGGAGTGACTGGAGTCTTATAAACGTGTGCACAGCCTGTCTCTAGGAGGCAGCTATTGAGCTCTCTCATCTGGAGCAAACAAGAATGAAGAAAATCAAAGATACATGGAAGCATTCGTTCCGAAGGACCTTAGTCTCTATAACCCTGAGACTTGAACAGCTAGATGACACCTGGTACTTATCCTGGCCACGCTGATGGAGATCACAGTAGAAGGCCCTGGATAGAAGGGGGTAGGGCGGATGTGAAACAAACTTCAAACCTTAAAAAGGGACGAGGCTTATTGGTCTGGTAGAGATTGGTGGGACCCCCACTCCAGACGATGGTGCAACTGTAGACACACTTCAGCCTGGAACGGAACTGACCCCCGAGGATCACCTTCCACCAGACAACAGACAGGTCTAGAAAACAAGCATTTGTGCCGGGTGAAACAGCTCCTTCGGATCATCAACATATGAGACTCAAATGGCTACACTTACCCCAACACAAAGTTCAGGAGGCAGGAAGGGCAACAAAGGAGGACACGTGGAAATGGGGAAGACAGGGAGGAAGCAATTGCTACGTACGTTGTGAGGACTGCCGTCGGTGTCATGACCCACATGTGTAGGAGATGTGGAATGGAAAACAAAGTTGCTTTGTAAACGTTTACCCCCAAACCACAATCAAATGCTCAGTACATCAAGAGCCCTGTTGGTGATGGTCCTCTCCTGAGAATAGAGGAAAATAACTGCAGAACACCGGCAGTAGTACATTTTCATTCTTTCCAATAATACTAAAGCAGCCTATTATTGTGGTCCATTTTCTATCAATAGAGGCCAGGAATTCAACATTTAAAATTGTGATGGCTGTATTATTTTCATAATAATTTTATTCTAGGAGCTGTTACATGTAATAAATGAGTGTTTGCTCACCTGGCTTTTAACTAAATTTGGTTTTAAACCCTAACTACGTGATTTAAGACCTTACAGAAAATACTGCAAACTAAGTAAAATATTCTTTCAGTTTTTTTAGATGTCCTCATAACAATAAATAGTAAAAAACAAAGTGTGCTTAACCTTCTGATTATTTTATTTAAAAGCCAGGAAGTTTGGCATATATGATACAAATGTTGCTACATTTATGTCACCCAATTTGGATGTTTTCTAAACAGAAGTGATATGCATTTGAATAAAGGGCTTTTCCTGTACAGTCTAGAAACAGGGCATCATTTATTTCTTTGAAGTTAAGCTAAGAGCCTTTCGCATATATAGAGATTTGGTGCATGCTTAACAAATTATGATTGAATTCAGAACCACGAAAACGCATCATCCTGCGCTTCGTAAGGCTGAATTGCACTGCTAGTATTGGGTCGTGCCATTTTCTCTCTAGCTGCAGGATTTGCATCAGCACAATCGAGACTTCTGACAATCTGTAATTCTGAACATTCTGGTCCTGCCTTGCCGGACATCCGTTGTACAACCAGGAAGTATTAAAATAAGTTGAGGGCAATGTTAAATCTTTCTATTATTAGCTATTTGAAGAGAGTGAACGTGCCTTGTATCTGAAGCTATATTAATTGGCAACTGGACCTTGTCACACGTTTGCAGATTTCATTCTGCACACAGACAATAGGAAGTAAGCAGCAACCAAATCAGACAGACCTATGAACTCAGATTGTTTGGGAAGAAGATTGTTTGCAATTCAGCCTTATTATCATGTCCACTTCGACCTTGTGGCACCGCGTGTCTCGTGAACCACAGAATCCAGACATTATCTCCACACACACAGAGAAACGACCCTCCGGTCTCTCTGAAACACGAGCTTTTTGGTTCTTTGGGAAAGTGAAACCAAGGGAAAGGGTTTCGTTTGAATGTCCTAAACCAACCCTCATGTTACTCTTGACCTACGGACATTGACATTTTCGCTTGAGAACACTGCCCTCCCGTAGATTCCAGTTTAGCCCGTTCTCATGCCTTGTTAGGAAGACTTCAGTGAACTTCAGTGAACTTCACAAGTCCCATATTTTCTCCTCTTTCATCCTAATTTGGAAGACGCTCGCCTCACCTTCAGCACCCACTGGCCCGAGACCACATTGCTTTGGACATTCTTGCTGCTGCGACAGGTGTTTGTCGGCTTTTGCTTTCCTTTCCCCCGAGGTCGTGTTATTTCCGGTACATTCCAAAGGCTCTTCAAAACTGTTTCACTATCGTGCCAAACCAAATCCCGACTCTAGCCTCAATGTTATGGAGACTCACTGTTGTCCAGATTTGATTACGCTAGTAAATTGTGTGCCATTTCCCTCTTACTCTGCTTTTCGAACAGTGTATACACACACACATATATTTATTAAGGGTTTTGTGAAACCAGAACTGAAAGTCAAACTAGTTATTTTTGTTATTGTTGAGAAACATTCTGGATAGCTAGGAAGGGAGTTGGTGGTTATATTTTCTGGTAAACCAGATCGGAAAAGGTTTTCATTACTCCTGGAGACCCCCCTGAAGTTTGGCGTACACAGAAAGGAAACAGACGTGGGGGACATGCAGGCTACCTGTTGATGTTTCCCTAGAGAGGGGAGCACCGCAGGCTGAACCGTTTACTGCAGAATGTAAGGGGGTAATACTGGTAGAGCGGGCATCATCAACCAATTGCTTATTTGTCCAGTCGCCGCTAACTCCGTATAGCCCATGTCTACTTTACCAAGTAAAACCCAAGCCCACCATAGTATGAGTCAGCTTTGGTCGCAGCACACACACACACACACACACACACACACACACACACACACACTCTCGCTCTCTCTCTCTCTCACTTTGACAAGGGAACAAGAAGAAGAGATGGTTCACACTAACCTTTTGGAAGTTTCTCGGTCCTGCTGAAGGCAATCAGCGTCAGAATATGGACCAGTGGAATGTTGACCAACTCTCTCATGATTAATCCAGGCTCAGGCAGGAGAAAGTTCCTTTTGGACAAAGCATGGAAATTGAAATTGTCCCCACAGTTTACATTTTAAAGTAGAGTTTGGTTCAAAAGGGTCGTCTGCTGAGGGCTGTTTGTGTGAGCAGCTCCGCAGGCTCTAAGTATAATCAGGAATTCTCAGACTTGGCTGTAATGATGGACGTGGCCAGCTGGTGAGTATCCACTTAGGCCAGTAATGCAAGTGTATGGCTGGAGGAACAAGGGAAAGAAAATCCCTTTAGAATCCCCTTTAAGACAGGGCAGAAGCACAATACCAGTTGCAATCATCATCATTTACCCTGAGGTATAGGTTTCTTGATCTTCAAATTCGGCCCACCACCTCTTCTTTACACCAGCGAGAAACCTGCATATCTAATCTTGACTTCTTCCCTCTTTTACCTAGCCCCCAACATCCAACCCATTATCGATTCCCAAACTATTCTTGGAGTCCTCTCGCTCCTTTTATTTCAAATACTGTCACACCACCCCTACCACGTTTTCAGACCCTTCTCTTCTCTGAATGACTGCAAAGCCTCTGGTCTCATAGCCTTTCTTTTAGTCTCTGCTCACATACCTGATCAAAAGCCTTATCACATGAAAAAATATTCAAAGTTCCCTACGATGGCTTCTGAGGTCTGGCTGGCCTCTGCCTACCTTGTTAGTGTCATCTTTTACAATCTGTGCCATTCATTTTAGTGTTCAGCAACTTGAGCGCCTGGCATATCTCTGTATACAGTGTTCTTGTCTCCAAATGCCCATGCTGGTCCCTCTTCTTGGAACACTATTCTCTGCCTCTCTAACCAGTTATCACCTATCTCTGGTCATCATCTCCTTCTGAGACCCTTCCCAGAGCAGCTATCCCATATCTGTCCAAGTTGTGTTAGGGCTGCCTTCTCTAGGTTTCCATAATACTTTGTGCATTATCTCTATCATTGAACTCATCACATTTAATGACCTTTTCCTTCCTTCCTTTTCATGTTCCCCTCAGTCTTTGGCCCCATGAGTCCCCTTATTGGAATTAGCTGCAAGGATATTAATTTTATTGTTCCCCACTTATCACAAAAATTGAAAACAGAAATGTCTACTAACAGGGGCTAGATTATAAGGAAAAACCAGGGGCTAGATTAAGTATATAATACTATAGCTATAACATAGGTTCCCCAAATTATTTGGCTGACCGCCTCCTTTCCAGAGGGGATAAAAATTACTCAGCAGGCTTCTGGCAAAGGTTTGTACTATAACCCATAATCCAGGATAAAGTGTAGGTATCTGCTCTTGCTGCACCCTGGATTGTTCCAGCTCCTCCCAGGAGTCAGTATCGCCCACTTTGGGAAACAATCATCTATATAAGAAAACCTCAAAAAGTTATTTAAGGTGATAATGCAGAAAGATATAGTGTGTAAAGATATTCTCAGTAAGCTGTTAAATGCAAAACATATTGTTTTCCAGGTAAGGGTGAGCAAAGTATACTATGAGTGTTAGTCTTTCCTGAAACTTGACTACAATCAGGGAATTAAAAATATATATATTATCATGATTGTAAAATCTAACGACTCAAAGAACAGTCAAGGAGACAACAACAGCAGGTCGGCAGGGAGTAACCACATGGATGCAGAAGAACGGACGGACTCAACTGAACCGATCATGTTCAAAACTGAGTTGACAGTGGAGAAAGATGAAAATAGCCTCTTTTACATCACAGAAACTTCCAAGGGCTTCAGAATTGGGGGTAACAACTACCTCTAGAAGTAGGGGAAGTGTTTGAGAATATGTTAAGAGGAATGTTTGATAATATATTAGATGTAGAAGAAAAAACAAACAAAAAACTTTCAATTATTTTAGTTGATTATTTTTGTATTTACCCTGATTTTTCTAAACATTATGCTGATAGGATTACTACTTAGTTGTTTAGGTTCAGGTAAAAGCTGCTGAACAAAAGATGGGAGGTTCAAGGCCAGAGGTACCATGGAAAAAGATCAGGTGCTCTATAGCCATTTACTTCCTTGAAAAACTTCCTGGAACCAGATAGAGAATGGCCTACCAACCTATCACACAAGTCTAGTCCTTACAATAGAAGATTCACTCAGCCACAGAGAACAGAGACTGGGTGTCAGCCAGTTACTTGACTTTTACTTCTGATGATATGGAGAGTACACGAGGCTAGTCTTCCTTTAAATAAAATACACTCATCGATCCATTAAGCATGCCTTCCCACCTTTGTCATCTCAGGAACTTGCCAACACTCCTAGGAAGTAGGTTCAGAGATTAAACAGCTCCATCTGAACCACATCTTATAGTACACACCAGAAGTTAGCTGCTCAGCAGCTGAGGAGACCAGCCCCATTCCTGTTAGAGACAGCACATCACCAAGTTAGTTCTCTTGGTCTGGACTATGCTCTGATACATCTGGTAAAACTTGGCAAAGATCCCCTTCTAATTATCACAAAGGGCAATGACCTAATTCCCTGACTAGCTTGTCAGCCAACAGTGGTTCAGAAATGCCACATGGCTTGCCCTGACTAGAAATCTCTGGGGAGTTGTATTTAAAACTTTGGGTGGAGTACTCCATGAACTATTAGGATAGGTATACGTAGGGACTTACAGCTTATAATATTGGATAGGCTCTTTAAAAAATGTTTGCTCAATGAATGAATAGATGATATGGAATTTGTGTTATTATATTATATTCAGCAATGACCCATGTAAACCAAAAGACCTTAATGGCTAGTGAAGGGGTGAATATTTTTAAATTATTTAAATAACTAACTAAGTCATAATCTGGAGAAGTACAATGTACTGTAGAAGTATATAAAAAGTGAGCCAGATCTAGTCTAGGAATTCAGGACTTGTTCTTGAAGCAAGTGATGTTGAGTCTGTCCTGCAGGATAAATAAAGAGTCCGACATCCACGTTGGGAAGGGTTGGTGGTAGTGGACTATTACAGGAAGTGGAAGGAGAATGTGGAAATGGGGTTCATAAGGATCATGGTGATGTAGTGAATTAAATGAAAGAAGGAAAAGCGAAAAAGGTCAGTGTCTCCGTTGCACAGAAAGTCGAAGGAAAACCTACACAGTCAAGGAAGTTAATTCAGAAAATCTATGTCTCAGGACTTTATTCTAAAAGCAATAGACAGCAGTGAGAATGTATATGATAACTGAAACTATAAAATTAAATAAGTTAACTTAAAGGGAGAGTGCAGAGATAAAAACCTAGGACTGAGCCATGATAGCATCTCTACTTTAAAAGTGAATAAAGATAATGAGCTAAAAAGAAGTGATAGGGACACAAATGAACAAAAATGAAGAAAGTAGAGGATTGTAAAAGTTAAGGAAAAAAGAATAATAAAGCAATGCTAAAAGGAGAGTTTTCTGAAAATATGTTGTTGAGTGCTGCTGAGACGTCAGGTAATGGTCGTTGTTTTACCTCATTAATCATGTTAGACATGCATATGTTCATTTGTATAATTAAGATCTTTCCATGCATGAAAGCCAAGATAGATGACCCTTCAGAAACAGTAATGGGAGTAATGATCCCCTGAGGGCACAGGAAGGCGGGAACGGGGAGCTGACAGCAACGAGGACTGGATAACCCCACTCGAGGGGAATGAATGACAGAACTGTAAGTGAATGGTGCATTGGATGGTGTAAGATATGGCAATAAATAGATAAAATAATCTATAATATAACATAATAATAAGGGTTCCTGTGGGGATAGGGTAGAGGAGGGAGGGGATAAAGGGGAGCTGATATCAGAGAGTTAACGAAGAAAGAAAATGTTTTGAAACTTATGGTGGTAGCAATTGTACAATTATGCTTGATATACTCTAATTATGGATTATAATATCTGTAAGAGCTCACAGTAAAATTACACACACACACATGCATACATATATATATGAATGGAAAGGTTCCCATTCAATTTGATAATATGTAAGTCATTTGTCACCTTGGTGAAGGTTGTCTCAGGAAATGGTGTGGAATGAAGTGACTATACATTGAAGATTATCTAAGCATTTACTGGAACACATCTGATGATTTCTATTGTCTTTATAACATAGATTGCCGTGCCTGAAACAGTTATTCCAGAGAGCAAGAGCAGTTGAGGTTGTTATCCATGGATTAGTGTGTGTGTGTGTGTGTGTGTGTGTGTGTGTGTGTGTGTGTGTGTGTGTACATATATGAGCATATTCTCTGGATTGGCTGAATACATATGCATACAGAAAGAAAAAAAAGTTCTATTGGGACATTGATTAAGTGCTTGACTGCTAATGCAGTTCATGGTTCAAAGCCACCAGCTGCTCTGTCGAAGAGAAACGCTGACTCCCTTAAAGCGTATAGCCTAGAAAACTCTGTGGGGGTAATTCTACTCTAGTCATATAGGGTTGCTACTGTGTTTCCCCGAAAGACATCCCCTGAAAAATAAGACCTATTTACAGTTTTGCCTCTCGCTGAAATATAAGGCATCTCCCCGAAAATAAGACCTTCCCAAACATAAGGCCTCCCCAATAATAAGGCCCCCTTGAAGCTACCGTAACTCCGCAGCGCAGCCGGAGCAGACAGGAAGTGCGAGTAAACGTACCATTGATTGTTGTACATGGAAATAATGGTAGTAACAAGAAATTCTTGATACTGTAGGATTCACAGTTTGTCTGGGTATGCTGGTTTGTGATGACAACTATCACCGTACCGTATACAGGAAATAAATTTCCCTTTTTTGTTTTTCAACAATAAATGTGTGCCATATTCTTCTTCATGGAAAAATAAGATATCCCCTGAAAATAAGACCTAGCACATCTTTGGGAGCAAAAATTAATATAAGACACTCTCTTATTTTCGGGGAAACAGGGTATCAGTCAGAATCAACTCAACAGCACACAGCACAACAGGGAGAGAAAAAGAGATCTAGCATGTGATCCAGTTCCCCTACAGCGTTTTTCAAGTTCTTAAATGACAGGAAACCCCGTGAGGTTAGGACTGTGTCTTTTGTTAGGACTATAATCTCAGCCGCTTCGTTGAATCCCTTTCCCTAGTGTCCATTCCCCACT